TTGTTTTTGGCAGGCCCGGGCTGGATTCGAACCTGCCACCTTAGGTGTATGTGGCTGGCACCTTAGCCACTTGAGCCACAGGCGCCAAGCCAAGAATTTAAATTATTAAAAGAGCTAAGTTAACTGGATGATGTCTTTCACTTGTTCCTTTATAAAATTTCTCTACTGTTTAAATATTTTTAATTTGCAGGCCTGACTTTTGTAACTAACATTAATGGATTCATTTATCTTAGGATAATGGAATATGGAGTACTTCATACATGTTTTTCTTACATTACAAGGTAAGAGCTGTTGCATAATTTGAAATTTAAAAAGTCTTTTGGGTAGATGCTCTGGGGATGTGTACGATGGACAAAAACATAAGGCAGGATTCTCCCAGGAGACAAGACAAGACCGGAAGACTGTGAACTCCAGGTGAGAAAGGCTGCAGACAGCCCTGATGCCGCACAGTGCCTCTGTAGGGCAGGAAAGACTACCAAGCCCCAGGATGGGTGGGTCACAACACAAATTACACTTTTTGGAACACATTTAAAGAGTTTAAATGTGTTTCTACTATGTTCCCTAAAAATTTTGCTGATGACTTCACACTTATGCCTGTGCAAGAGTGAGCAAGGCCTTTTAAAATGAAACACAATCTGGATGTGGTGATCTGGGAGTCCTCAGAGGACAGACCAATCCCCAGCTCCACTGCAGACCATTGGGAAGACACATAGCACAAACGCATGCCTGGCCCTTGGTTTCTATGTGCTGTGTTCCCCATTCACCCTCTGACCAGTGCTGTTCCCAAGTAGGCAAAGCTCACAGAGTCACCTGAGGTGGGGGACGCAGGAAGAGATGTAAACAACCAAATGTTTCTTTTCTTTCCTTTTGTGAGACAGAGTCTCATTATGTCACCCTTGGCAGAGTGCCATGGCGTCGTGTCACAGAACACAGCAACCTCAAACTCTTGGGCTCAAGTGATTCTCTTGCCTCAGCCTCCCAAGTAGCTGGGACTACAGGCACTCACCACAATGCCCGGCTAGACAGCCAAATGTTTCTGACCACAGAGTAAGTTTATAACCTGACGAGGCCTTTTAAAAGGCCTTTAATGGTACTAACAAGCAAATCCTGATACCTGAAATCACACTGTGTGTGTACACATGTGTGCATGTGTGTGTAGCAGCTCTTTCCCACTTTCCCAAGGAAAGCATCTGATGTTTACCCTTGGCTGCTCCCACACTGGCCACCCCAACCCATAAGCCCTTCTTACTAGAGGCTGCCTCCCATAGCTCATGGTCCCTGACAGGCACTGTGTTAGTGTGTGCCATGTTTGTGGGTGCTGTGGAGAGGCAAAAGTCATGCTTGGGCTGCTGCTGCAAAGACCAGAGAAGGGCACACACAACTAGCCCTGCCAATCTCAGCAGAGCCAGGTAGTCATGGGACAGCATGGGTGCAACCTCTGCATGTAAAGCACATGCAGAGGCTCTGATGGGGGTGTTGCGTGTGGGGCTCCATCCCAGACCCACATGGCTTTGGGAAACCGGGAGGGACACACCTGGGAACTGGGAGTGGCAGCCAGGAGACCCTGCGGCATGGAAACTGGCTTCGGCTCCCAGGGGTGTCCAGCCTGAAGAAGGGAAATGGAGAGGCCCGACCTCTGAACTCAACGCTGGTAGGGAGCACACTTGTCTGCATTGCTGAGGAAGGGCTAGAACCAACAGGAAAGCGACTCAGGCAGATGGGGACCAAGCTGCCTATGTGGCCTGTATACCCACCACTGGGAATGCTGGAGGATAGCATGGGCTAGGTCACTTCTAGGTCTCCCTCCAACTCAAAAACTCCACACCTGAGCACCCTGAACCCTAGCAAGTCCAGCTACTGAAGCTCCCAAGTAGTAGTATGGTGGAAGTGCTTTTGGAGGGGGCCCTCAGGGATATGGTTTAAATTTTAATTGTAAATGGCCATTTTTACCAATTGAGCTTGGGTATCTACTGGAGGTGGAGGGCATAAAACAACAGGCCACTGAAATGGATAAAGCAGAAAGCACACACACAGATCCCATCCAGCTTTCACATGGAAGAGGCCATGGGGTATGTTTCCACACTCTTGACTCCAAACCCATCTCTACCAACCTCAACAGCAGGCTCGTTATCAAATGCCCCTTATTTACAATGGCTGTGAAACACAGTGCCCTAGGCCTATACCCTAAAGGACTTTTCCCCCTTAAATGAACTATTTCTGAGCTGACTTTCCAGGCAAACTTTTTCAACTAGAATTGGGCACTCATGTGAGTCCCCGAGGGACTGTCTGGGTTAGGGACAGAAAAGGGAGCAAGCTGTTTCGACATGATAATTGCTGCAAGACACTCATCTGCCAGCTGTCCCTCTGGTTCAGTGACTCCACAGAGCACAGTGGTCCAGGTGCCCCAGCAGGAAAACTCTGGCAGAGCATGCTTGTGGCACCATTCTCTGTGACTAATGGAGAAAAACCAGTCTTGGCAGTCTAGTAATTTGGTTCATTGGTTATGATTACTCACGAAGACCACTAAGCAAATCCAGGAATCCTTAAAACAGTCTCACGTCCAAACTGCACAGAACAGGTAAATAGTCCATGCACTCAACAGAACCCCAGAAACATCACCCTACTGCCCATGCAGGACCCACCTACCTCAAGTGTGCATGCCTCGTCGGCAGATTCAGAAAGACTTCTCTGTGCAATGTTTCCGGGTGCTGCTGCTGGCGCTGGCCCTGTGCAGTCTGCTGGAATGCTAAGCCCGTTGGTGCTACTGTTGGGGACTGTGGTGGGGAGGGGAAGGAGTCAGTGAACGGGAGAGTTCAGAGAGGCACCTCCCACCCCTGCTTGCTGAGGGACTGGACCTTGCCTAGGACATCTTCCTACTGTGTGGGCCGTCGCATACATCTCCTTTTTAAGGAAAGGCCCTCATGTCTCTATGAAGAGCCATAAATTCTTAGGTTAAGAAAACCTCACAGATATGAGGCTATCTTATCTTTATTTTAAAAAGAACCATGTTACTTTTCAGTGTGTCTAAAAGCATTACTGCTAACTAAGGGGGAGATAAAACAGAAAAAGAAAATATTCTGGGGGCACCATTCTTTTTTTGAGACAGAGCCTCAAGCTGTCACCCTGGGTAGAGTGCCCTGGCATCACAGCTCACAGCAACCTCCAACTCCTGGGCTCAAGCGAGTCTCCTGTCTCAGCCTCCCCAGTAGCTGGGACCATAGGTGCCCACCACAACGCCTGGCTATTTTTTGGTTGAAGCCATCATTGTTGTTTGGCGGGCCTGGGCTGGATTCGAACCTGCCACCTTAGTGTATGTGGCTGGCACCTTAGCCATTTGAGCCACAGGCGCCGAGCCAGGCACAATTCTTTATTAGTGTTCCTAGTAAGGAGATCGTGCACTCCCCCCCCTTAAATAGTTTATGACACACACAATTTTAAATCTGGCTTTGACTGTTTAGCATAGCATTAGATTAAAATAATGTCCCATGTAACTAAAAACCCTTCAGAAATATGGTATTTCCTTTGTGTTAGTTGCTGAGTTGCCTCCAAAGGAAAGCTCATTAGTGTTAAGAAAATTAAGGACTAATAGGACACCACTACCTCTCTGGATAGAATGGAAGTGCAGTTTTAGGAGCTACATCTAAAGGCTGATAAATAAGGTAAAAATGCACATCTAACCAAAAAGACTCTTCCCATCTCTTAGATGACCTATAAAGTTACAAGGCTGAAGCTTTATCTGTAAACATGCAAATCTAAACATTCCCAGGAACTGGCCAGATTTTATGGAGACAAGAGAACAAACAGAGCCCATTTCCCCAGTCATGTGGGAGGAGGCTGCGGAGGTGCTTCTCTCTCCTTCTCTGTGGGCTCTGCAGGCTGGAGGGAACCTGGAGGGGGCGGCTGATTTAAAGGATCACCTTCCCCTAGCTCTCTGTATTTCTAGATGCATTCAGTTGTCACCTATGCCGAGACACTGCTGTCTCAGGCGTGACTTCAGAACTGCTTTGCCCTGCCGTCTGAGCCTAGGTGCCAGGGCCACCGATTCTTACCAGTCTGGGACAGTGCCTTTGGCTGCGGGGCTTGTAACACTGCTGGGCGAAGCACGCTCCGCTGTTGCTCCTTTGGCTTCTGGCTTGGCAGACCTGGGAACAGAAGTTGGCTTTCCCAGGGCCTCCACTTCCCTAGTGGAAACTCAAGACCCTCTGCACCCAGGTACTTCAGAGAAGACTGACTGACCCCCAGCAGGTTAACTTGGAAGGCAATAACTTTTTTTTTTGTAGGGATACTCACTTTATTGCCCTTGGTAGAGTGACATGGCGTCACACAGCTTACAGCAACCTCCAACTCCTGGGCTTAGGCGATTCTCTTGCCTCAGCCTCCCAAGTAGCTGGGACTACAGGAGCGTGCCACAACGCCTGGCTATTTTTTGTTGCAGTTTGGCCAGGGCTGGGTTTGAACCCTCCACCCTCAGTATATGGGGCCAGCGCCCTACTCACTAAGCTACAGGCACCGCCCAGAAGGGAAAAACATTTTTTAAAAACCTGAGGTCTTTACAGTGAGGCATGCAGATTCTGGCTACTGTCATTTTCATATATGATTAAGTAAAAATTCCCAGTAGTCAAGTGGAAATGGCAAGGAGAGATCAGGGAAACCACTGCCACCCCATTACCTTTAGGACTCTGCATGTGGTCACATAAAGGCACGCTTTGCACCCACTTTTTATTATTATTTTTTAATTTTTACTCTTTTGGAGATAGAGTCTTATTTTGTCAACCTCAGTAGAGTGCCACGGTGTCATAGCTCATAGCAACCTCAAACTCTTGGGCTCAAGCGATCCTCTTACCTCAGCATCCTAAGTAACTGGGACTACAGGCACCTGCCACAACGCCTGGCTATTTTTTTTAAGAGACGAGATCTCACTCTGGTTCAGGCTGGTCTCAAACTTGTGAGCTCAGGCAATCCACCCACCTCAGCCTGCCAGAGTGCTAGGATTATAGGCATGAGACATCACGCCTGGCCTTGCAACTGCTTTTTAAAAAATCTCGCTGAGATCCCTTAGCCAAATGCAGATGTGGCGAGGACCACAAGGAACCATGTCACGCCCAGCACAATTCCCGGGCTCTGTGGTCTTGGCTTTGCTCACTAGCAGTGAGCTGCTGGAGGGCAGCAGCTCTGCTAATTGAGGTTAACACAGAGCATGTTAAGGCCAGAATGTTCTGAACAAACAGGCTGCGCTGCCATGCTATAGCTGGGTGCAGACTCAGCATACCCCACCCCAGCCCACACCAAGCCAGGTCCTAGACTGCCACCTCTTCTGAGTGTACAGAGCTCACAGGGAGCAGTCCCCAGTCCCCTGTGAACCGCCTCTCTTTGAGTAGCTTTCCAGGGCTCATTGGTCAGGTCACAGACTGCCTAGAACACAGGCGGGGCTGCAGTGTCCAGGTGTGGCTGGACAAGAGACCTAAGAAGCTGTCAGGAAGCCATTTTCCCTATTCTCCACAGAGGTTCATGACCTACCTGCACTGGGTGCCTGGCCATGGATCAGGGTTGGTGGCTTCAACCGGAACCCACTGCTCCTTTCCTCTAAAAGCACAAGATGAAGTATAATGAACAGCAGGCTTGCCTGGATAGGGGCTGGGCCTCGGGGAGGGTAGGAGAGGGGTTTGGTCTCAGACTCAGTGACCATGGGCCTGGAGACTTAGGGGAAACATTTCCATCTGTCCAATCAGCAGGGTTATGCAGCAGCTAGGGGATGAGAGAGAGGCAGGGGCCTCAGGAAGTGGTGTCTCCGGGGCGTACTACTAACAGTGGGTGCCCAGAGTGAGGCTGAGGGCACTGATCCCCACGGGCCTGCTTAGGAGCTGAGACACAGCCCAGGAGAAAGTCAGGGAGTCACAGAGCAAAGGTTCTAGGGAGCTGTGTCCCTTTCCTAGAGTACTTCTCTGTTATAGCATGTGTCTGTAGCTGGGAAAAGCTTTAGGCCTACCATCAGATGTCTGAGGAATGAGACTCGCTTTTTGTGGTGAAAAGGACAAGGTGGCAGGAGCCTGGCTTCCTTCCTTTTCCAGATGTGCCAGCTGCTTAGTGAGAGACAGCTTTTCTGACACCTGTAAGGAGGCTGAGTCTCCCCAGGATGGAGCCAGGGATGACAAATGCATAGAGCTGGGGCTTGGCGCCAATAGTATAGTGGTTACAGCACCAGCCACATACACCTAGGGTGACAGGTTCAAACCATGCCTGGGCCAGCTAAACAACGACAACTACAAGAAAAAAATGGCCAGGCATTGTGGCAGGTATCTGTAGTCCCAGCTACTTGGGAGGCTGAGGCAAGAGAATTGCTTAGGCCCGGGAGTTTGAGGTAGCTGTGAGCGGTGATGC